CCTCAAGCAATTGATCAAATTCAGCATCAGCCGGGCATGATTGAGTGGCTTAAAATTAATCAAACTTTAGCAAACCACTCATCCAAAGGCTTCAATGATTACTGGCTAAGCACGACGAAGACGCAGCCAATGAAGCACACTGGAAGATCATCATCAAGATTGCATCAGCAGCAGATCAATCAACAACAAAAGCAGCCTAATAACAATTTGTCCTCCTCCTCCTCATCATCACAAGGAAAGCTATTTAGAGGAGTTAGGCAGAGGCATTGGGGGAAATGGGTGGCTGAGATTCGATTACCAAGAAACCGAACAAGGGTTTGGTTGGGGACTTTTGACACCGCTGAGGAGGCTGCCATTGCATATGACACCGCAGCTTATATATTGCGCGGCGAACATGCACAGTTGAATCTCCCAGATTTGAAGCATCAACTTAAGGCCAGTGCTTTGAAAGGAACCACAGCTGCTCTTCTTGAAGCAAAGCTGCAAGCAATATCATCATCACAAGCACATAAGAAGGCCATCAAGGAGTCCTCTTCGTCCGAATCAGCGTCATCAAACAAGCACTCAGCGGGTGATGGCGGCGATCACAATAATCTCATGATCAATAGTAATTTGAGCCAAAACGCTACAAGAAAAGAGTGGCAATTTGAGTTGGAGAGTAAAGTTGGATCTCATCACCATCACCACCAGCAGGATTTAGTATCAGCAGCAGATGTGGATGCTGTTCAATTAAGTAGAATGCCCTCCTTGGACATGGACATGATATGGGATGCTCTTCTGGTCTCTGATTCCTAACTTTCGAATTTCCTTTTTGGAATCTCATTTTTCATTTCCAAAATTGATATCTGATACCGAAACATGATCATATAGGCAAATAACTCTTATTTCGTTTCCCAATTTTTGCAGTAAATTGTTTGATTATCAGATTTGTACTTTCTCCCGGTTGTGTTTTTTTAATTTTTTAATTTATAGTTTTCTTAAAAGTTGATCTTTATGCAGTTATACATTTTTCATTTCCTTTTGCTTAAGTATTGATGCAATTTCTACAACTTCTGTATTCTGTAATGATGATTTTTCCCTTTGAACAAGCAGGATGCACATTGTTCCAACTTTATATTACAAAGAATAATTTTTTATTCAATAGATTAGATCATTTAGTAGTAAAAAAAAAAAAACAGTCATAATTAAATTTAAAAAATACTATTTTTTTTCTTATTTGTCAATATAGTAAATAAAAAGTCGAACTACTACTCATTAGGGCTGGAAAAAATTTCCAAAAATCCCGAACCAAACCAAAAAAATTTCGATCCCAAACCAAAAAAGTTCCAAACTAAAGTTCCAAAATTTTCAGGATGAAATACTGAACCGATCTTGAAATTTCGGTACAAGATTCAGTATTGTTTACTCAATTTTTTGGTAATCTCATATCGAACCGAAAATAAATATTATATATATTATTATACATTTGAACTATTGCTAACTACTAGTAGCAATATAATTGGTATGGTCTACAAGTAGTATATAACCATAGCCTTTTATCGCTACAGCAGCCAGTATGAACCTCTTATAAATGTGTCTATTTCTTCAACACAAAATAAAAAAATTGTAATGTTAGTTTTCGAAAATATTAGGTTTGTAACTTATTTTTTTTGCTTTTGGGTTTGTTACTTATTTTATTTTGGTTGCATGTTAATTTAACTTGATATGAATGATTGCTATTTCAATTTGTATGAAATTTGGGAATACCGAAAATATTTTGAGAATCCCGAAAATTGAGAATACTGAAATTTTGGTTTAGGGATTGGTCTTCAAATTCTCGTCCCAAAAATTTTCGGTTTGAAATTCGGGATCCCATTTTCGGTTTGGGATCCCATGCCAAACCACCCCTACTCATTAGTCCGGACTAGGGGTGGGTAAACGGGTCTTTGTCCACGGGTAAGGGAGGGTATAGGCAGGTACAGGGCGGGTCTAGTGTTTTAAAATCTGAAACGGGGCGGGGCGGATAGGGTTTATGTTAGTTGCGGGCAAGATGGTTATAAATTGCTAAGAAAATGGGCCCCTGGCCCGAACCGTATACCCCATCCAATATCTGGACATTTGATCTCCTAGTCATCTGCAAATGTCTTCTCAGTTTCTCGAAGATTCAATCCTTTCCAGATTGACCTTCCTCCCTCTCAACTCTCAAACATCTTGACTCTGGACTCTCATCCATCTCGATCTCTCTCTCCCGGACTGACTCTCCGTCTCGTCTCCATTAGGGGATCCAGATCCTTATATAAATGAGGGATAAAAGTGGTGGCTCAGGTCATGTCTCTTTGCTCCTTCCTTCATCCCAGTTTTCGCATTCCCAAGCCCTCATCGCATCTTTCTCTCCTGTAATCTCCATACGGTGCGTTTCAATCAATGGCTGCAAATCGTTGGCTGAGGCCTACTTGATCCTTTCCTTTCGTTTTGTGCCAAACCGGCTTTGATTCTGTTGGCTCGGCTTTCAATCCGGCGTCGTATTGTATGCATGTAGGTTTATCCACTGTTCGCTGCCACAAGGGTCGCCGTAAGGATCTGCGGGATGAGTCTATACCGCTATATCACCATCAACCCTGAACGAGGTCCCTCCCACCCATCACCTAATCACCATCACCGTATATCGAGGTCCCTGCCACACACCATCTGACCACCATCTTCGTCAAACGAGTTCATCGACGCCAAGAACTTGAGGTTGGTGAGCCCCCCGCTGCGATTATGCTTCCAATTTTCAAAAAACCCAAATTGGTTTTGATTTGGGTTCCCCGATGGTTTTGTAGGGGAATTTAATTTGGGTTTTTCTGGGTTTTTGAGGGGCTTGGGAAAATTTTGTGATAAGGGTTTTGCAGGTATTTTTTCTTTCCTAAGTAGTTCATCGATCATGCATTATAAATCATGTAATTTACTGGTTTTTGTTGAATTTGTCACAGAAAATTTTCATGATGGACGTAACCTGCTCTTTGGTTCTACAAGCCTTTTCCTTTTCAATTGGCACCGAAACCACACCTCATTCTGCTTCAATTGTAGTATACCCATAACCGAAAAAAAATTAAAATACAATAAAATAAAATAAAAAGTTATTGGACTCGTGGACCCGTCCCGAACCGGCCCATTTGATACGGGCCGAGTTAGGTCCGGTTCCCAAACTTAGGCCCGGCGCGGCCCGTTACATTTTAAAACGGGTAGGTTCGGTTCTTCCAAATTTGGGCCTGGCCCGACCCGTGCCCAGCCCTAGTCCGGATTACAAACAAAATGAAAAGAGAAGTAATTATGTTTTTGAATAGTATTGTCGCCAAAATTAGAATTGTGGAAGGGGCTTGATGGGCCCTCACCTAAGGTCAGAGGAAACTGCCTAATAGAAGGATGTTCAGTACTTGGGCCACTCCAATCCCGATTTGGGGTAACCCATTTTTGACTTGGCTAAACTTTTTCATGGCTAAACAGTTTGGATCATGACATTACATTATTTTTTTAGCATCACACTAGAGCTCATTACCTCATCGGATCTTGTTTCTATTTTGCAAGTTTTTATCAGAACTCCTAGGTCCGGCAAATCGTCTTTCCAGTACAAGCAACTACGATGCAATTGATTATTGTGCCCCCTCGATTCGAGACCAAGAGCAGAACCCTTTAGCTCTTCTTCCACACGTACAGTAGTTGAAGTAGTGACAAGAGCTAGAGAGTGAAGATTTGGCAAGGACCATTGTATGCATCTAATTATTATGTTGAGTTTAGTCTCTTTTACATTGCAGATCTGAGCTTAGTCAAGTTAGTTAGAACAATGTATTTTCACACACTATACACAAGTTTAAATCTCTCTTCCGATGTTTAAATGAAGTTAGTGTCGAACATTGCATTTGTCAACAAAAACAAAAAAAAAAAACCCTATCAATTTGTTGCGTGAGTAAAGCAATACATACATTATTTTTTATTTGGTGAATAAATTAAGATTTATTTTTCTTGCTCTATCATTCTTTATTGGCAAAAAATATATCAAAAGTGGGTCCATACTCTTCCTTCCTAAGGAAATAGAGAAGGAAATTGCGCAAAAATTTCTCTTGCATTACATCGTTAGTTCCAGTCATGGATAGAGAAAGAACTTGACGCGGTTGACTTAATCTACAAGAAAAGACTACCCCTTTTCTGAGAACGTAGGAAAAAGTATATAATTATAAATTAAAAAAACATATAAAAATTCCTTTATTCTATAAATGTTTTCCACTTTCTGATTCTCCATTCCTTCTCAAAGCTTCAACATAATTCCTCAGATTCTCTTTCCCAGGCGTTGTTGATCTTCAAACATGGCAGACTGGTCTTTCGGTATATAGCTTATCCTCCTCCTCTTTCTGTTTTCTCAAACATAACTTCTCTTACGATTTGCAGATTTTGCAGTTTCTAGGGAGAATTATCTCGTGTAACTGGTTGTATATCATGTCTTTCTATTTTTTACATCATGTAAATGAGAAAAATAACTGTCGCATGATGTGAGATATTGAAAGAGGAGATATATAATCGATTGCTCAAAAAATTTAGCGTTTCTATGAGCTATGATTGATTGATTGATTAATCTAGTATAAATTGTCTTAGAAGACATGAAACCTAAAAAGCACTGGATGTACGAAAGAGAAGGGTTGAGGAAAGTAGACTTCCCAAGTCACTGCAGTTATGGACCAGTGAACGAAGATGACCCTTACAAATGGCAAGGTATGATCATGGGGCCACCAGATTCTCCTTATGAGCAAGGTGTCTTCTTTCTCTCCATTGATTTGCCACCAGAATATCCTAATAAACCTCCCACCATCAAATTCCTAACCAAGGTATACACATCTTATCTGTCTAGTTTCCAAATCAATTACTTAAAGTTGTAGGTGTCACTAAATATTACTGTTTAGTAATGTCTTTCTTCATTTAAAGGTGAATGATTTTAGATTCAACTCTCATGAATGACCAGTTCGCCACCAGCAACCCATTGTGTAATTCAACTATCCCTTATTCCTTAAAATTAAAGTTGTAAGTTTGTTTAACTTGAAGATGCATGTGATTAAGTGAAATTAAACATGATTATCTAGTTATTTATGAGTAATGAAAAACATCACCAATGAGAAAATTAGACTCTTTCTTCTCCTTATTAGGTGTTTTATGGGTCAGGTGTAGTAAATGTTTCGATACAAGCGATATTCTCTTAATTAAGTTTAAACATGACTTTGAATTCACATACGTATGGAAAATGTATTTTCTCTAATCAATGTGGTTACTATTAAATGGCATAATATTTATTCATACATTTTGCTTGAATTACAACCATGTTAGCGAAATGACAAAAACTTGTTAATATGGCTACAGAATAATCAACCTTGATTATGATTATGAAAGTATTATGATTAAAGTTCATCGTTCAACCTTGATTATGAAGGCTATGACATATTGGTTTTTAGGTATAAAGATTAATCACGCATGTTATGTGATTCGGTGATGAACCCTAGCTCCATGAGTCTCAACACGGTGGAACCACTTACTGGAATCAACTACAAAAAGTGGAAGCAGGACTTGAAGAATGTGTTCTCAACTCCAACACAATCTCCAAGTCTTGCTTCCACTTTTTGTAGTTCATTCCAGTAGTGAATCCACCGTGGTGAGACTCATGAAGCTAGGGTTCATCACTGAATCACATAACATGCGTGATTAATCTTTATACCCAAAAACCATACAATATATCTCAGCCTTCAACTCTTTAGATTGAAGAAGGCTGTGAACGATGAACTTTAATCATAACACTTTCATGATCAAAGTTGAATATTATGTAGCCATATTAACAAGTCTTTGTGATTTAGATAACATGGTTGTTATTCAAGCAAAATGTATGAATATTATGCCATCAGAACGCGAGGAACAATTTCTTTAGATAATCATCAATCAGTTATCAATATCAAATGCAAGTTTTGACGGCAGGATTAAGGCACGATTTCAGTGCGTGAAAAGCTTTGATTCATACACACCAAACCATTCTTGTTAATCCATAGCCAGTCTGTAATCTGCATAAAAATTTTGTTCCTCAACATAGGGTTAAGGACATATGTAAAAGGCTCTGATACCAAATGTAAGTTTAAATATATAGCGGAAACAAATAGCTCAACATATTAGTTTAACCACTAACCTTGCAAAGTCATTGCTGCAGAAATCTTAGGTTCTTCTCCTCCAACGCATCCATATCAGAATGGTTAACACCAATAGCACCGGAACTTCTTTAGGCTTATACTTTAGTCTTTATACATTCCTTAATAACCTACAATTATTGTCAAACATAAACTCTTATGATCTCAATCCCTTATGCACATGCTAAACAAGTGTGCAACTCTCATTATGCTTACAGTTACATATGTGTATTGTCGTGGCGAAGCCACCAGCTAGTTCTTTTAAAATAAAATAAAAATACTCATTATTACTTGTGCATGTCCAAATTATTGTATTTCAACCTCTTAGCAAAACTAAATACAAGATTTACTTCCAATACTGTATTATTATTTGGACGGGTTTTACATTTTTTTCTTTGTTATGGAAACACATCAACACCTCAAAGCTTGAAGAATTACAACCTTTCCTGTCATTCTCTCTTTAAACCAAATCTTTCTAGTCTCCATGTAATCTTATACATGCTGAGCTCATATGACTTACATACAGAACTTGTTCTTATGCAGGTTTATCATCCAAATATTAACGGCGAGGACGGGACTATTTACGTCGACATTTTAGAAGAGGATAAATGGAATCCAGTGCAGAACATTGAGAGCCTCCTGCTCTCCATTTGCTCACTTCTTGATGATCCAAACCCAGTGGATCCCCTCAATCCATCCTGCCTGCTCTTCCGGAAAGACAAAAAGAAGTTTGTGGAAACGGCCAAGGAGTGGACTAGGAAGTATGCAATGTTTTGAGAATTTTAATTATCTTGCTTCCAAAGTGTACTGGAAAATATGGAATGTGGTCGGATAAGAATTAAACTGATAAGAATTTGTTGAGCATTGTATTTTATGTGGACATGTGAACCAAAGACCTATAGGTGCTCTGATTAGGAAGCTATCTCGTTTTACATGATTCAAGTAAAATATAACAGCTTCATGCAATTTCAAATCAACTGCATTAAACAAATAAAACGTCCACAAAGTCTCTGTCAATCCAAAACCAATTTCACAAAAAAAAAAAAAAAAAAACACATATAAACCATCAGGAGTAAAATCTTGAAATTGAGGGATAAAGTAAAGGCCAAAGAGTTCAATTGCCGGCCTGTTGCACAACGAACCCTCTCAATTTCTTATGGTCCAGAATATAAGTCAAAGATCGCAATTAACCTGCAGCCCTAAGCTTTGTATGTGATCCTAAGTATACAAGCATAGATCCCAAAGCTTTAGAGCTGGAGTCAAATTGATTAGTTTCATTACCTAATACTAATAGGTGTCATGGCTTATGGAGTTTCAATGCCAATACTGTCAGGTTAATGTCTGTTTGCTTCTCAGTGTATGCAAAATAATCTGTCCGCCGGAGGTACCTCGAACAATGCTACTACACTCATCCAATATATTTTTGAAGCACTAACAGAACAAAACTCTCACTACTGTAATTGTATACAAATGATAATACAACGTAAAAAATGTTCAGGTGTTCTATTTCAGAAAGGGCACTGGGGAACATAGTCATAAAGGATTAACAGAGAGATTAACATTTTCAAGTATGGATGCACGCTCACTTCGATCAATGGCTGGCCCAAACAAGCAAATAGACAATTGACAGAGCAAAATGGGGGTCGTAGAGACCCAATCTTTTAACTACGTACTTATCACATTACCTACAACGGCCAATTGAGAAATTGATCAAGTTGATTTCTTTTCATCGCTTCCCTCTTTAGTTCATAGCGATTGAAATCAAAACATAGATTGTTTTCTTTTCCTAAGTTTCTCGGAAAACATGCAAATGCAGTATACGAAAAGTTGAGTAAAGCTCAAAAATCCTAAATCAAGTGAAAGACAAAGGATAAACTTGAAGTACAAATCTAGTACCAAAACTAAAAGATCATATGTGTAATAAATCATTGGACTTGAATGTACTCACCACATTTAACACCATGAACCGACAAGCGATCGTTAACAGGGTTCCACACAAGCAACTCCATGAAGTTCTTTAATATCTGCAACCAAACAACTGCATGGTAAATCTTAGGCCTATTAGCATCAACTGCCTCCAGTGTAATATGGTACAATATGCCAGAAACCGTATTGTGGCTTGCCCCCACCACCCTCACATATCGAAGATGCTTACCCTACAGAAACAAACGCAACAACAAAAACAAAAAAAATACCCCATAAACAACATTATGCAGAATATAAAGAAACGAACAGAAACTATAGAATTTCCATATCAAATGAGATTTATGAATTACCAACCATACACCAAATTTTACATTTAGCACCACCACCAATAACCAATAAAACCATCCAAACAAAAAGAAGAAAATAGTGGGATACATTGTTTTACACAGAAAAGTACAGAAATCATGAAGCAACCAAGTTTTTTCCTTTGAAATTTTATAATTCTGGGGAGTTTTATGATATATTATGAGGTTGGTTTTGAACAAAACACATTAAACTGCCATAAAAATGGTGAATTTTAAGTGGGAAAAGGATAAAAGGAACCTCTTTGTGATTGTGCTGGTCTACTGCAAACTGGGCGAGTGTGATGATCCAGTCATCCTTGTGGGCACCCATGTAAATGCTAGTGCCACCGCATGGCGGTGGTGCAGAAGAAGATGGAGATCCAAGAAGGAGCGAGCAAGTGCGGAGCAGAGTATTGTGATCGAATGGTGCCCAGAAGCCGTTGTTGGCCTTCAGCATCAGGTGAGTATGGTTGGTTAACGGTCGTGAAGATGTTGCCGTGCAGATTTGGAGGTTGCCGATGTTGAAGGACATCGAACTTGACATCAACGTGATTTGGTCATACAACATATCGAAAAATACAATTAGGTCGGAGATGTTTTGGTATATTTATTAAAGATTATAAACTAAATATTTGATTTTGACATATAAAATAAACAATATTTTATTGAAAGAAAATTTAGAAAGTGAAAGTAGAAAAGTGGAAGCTTTGAAGAAAATCTAAAATGGTAAAACCAACAGCGAGACAAAACCTAAAATGGTGAGAAGTGCAAAGTTAAAGCTTGAAGACAACAAGTGGCTAACACTCATATGAAGGTATGACCAACCTTTGATAAGTGCCCTGTAAAAATCTTGTCAGCTTAGCAAAATCCCAATCGGATAAGCAACTCTTGAACTAAGGGAAAAAAAATTACATTAAAGTCAACTAGTTATCTACCAGACACTCACTCTGAGTTCAACAAAACTTCTTAATTAGATTGCAAGCTGCATAATTCCACTTCGTTGAACAAGCTTTAGAAAACTGGACTTCGGTAATGGCTTGGTGAAGAGATCGGCAAGGTCGTCATGGGAATGAATTCGCTTTATTTAGATCTTTTATTGCTCTTGTTAATGAAGGAAAAAGAACTTCAGCGCAATGTACTTGATATGGTCTCCTTTGATGTATCCTTTCCGAATATGGTCTATACATGTGAATTGATCCTCAAATATCGCTGTTGGAAAAGTTCGAGTTATACCCTAAAAGCCAATTTATGTAATATTAAAAAACATATAATAACTTTACATTAGTTAATTAACAAAAAGGCAACCTTTATTCATTTATGCTCTCCACTTGTACAAAAAAGGGATTATATTGTGCCATATAACAGCATCGATCTCAATTCAGTCAAAAGAATCAGTAACCACTTACTAGAATAGTATGATTCTCTCTTAACAAAGAGCTAATACCGGATCCACATAACCCACCCATATGGGTTTAAAACTTGGGCTGGGTTTGATTGGATTCAAGTTCAACCTTTGAAGAATTTCCTTGGGAACGAATGTATGACCTGTTTATTTAACAAAAGTGAGAAAATTAAGGAATCGGAGAAACATAGGATTACTAGTTGATTTGGTTTTTTATTTTTAGATATTAGATTATGGATTTTAGAAAAATAAAACAAATTTTTATTTTTCATATGGATATTAAAATCATTTGAATACTCATATTTTAATAAAATAATTCAAATGATTCTACTTCTTACTCTTGGTGACTTGAGAGGAGTAACCAAATCTTGAAAATTAATGAATAAAGATACATAGGTAATCTCTTTCTTAATATACAAAAGTAAATCCTCCTTTCCAACCTTCGTTCATAGTTTTCTACCTCAATGCAATGTTAACCATACTAGTAGCTCGTTTGAAAATCCTTTTAAATGACTGCAAGCATCAATTATATGTTTTTTGCATGAAGCACTTCAAATGTTTTTTCATGATTACCTTGCATTTTATTAAGGATTCGTTTTAAAAACATTTTCTTCAAAAGCATTTTAAGTTATTTAAAAGTACTTCTCAAATAAACCCTAGATCTAAGAAGTTATAACAAACTTCCCCATGCCCAAAAATAAACCATATAGATCGTTCTTCCATTCTAAACAAATTGAAAAAGTCCATATCCTAATACTAGAAATAGTACTAACCATATTCAAGTGCCCTACCATTTTGGCCACCCTAAAGAAAATTATGCAAACCCTAACCCTAGGCCATGTTAACTTCCACCACACACAATCTTCGACTTCAAATACCCATTTAATTTGCGACAAGGTTTTGGTAAATATGGTTGGTGATAGTATTCAAATGCGCATTAAACATGCTAAAAATAAGGAGTAAATATATTGAAGAAAAAGAAAAGAGGATGGTGGGAATTGTTCTAAACTGATTAAATGCCAAATTAAATACCAAGAAGCTGGTGTTACGGCACCCATATCTCTTTATCTATCTCCTCCCCAACCCCTTATTATTTTTTAAAATGTGATTTTTTATATATTCTCTGTCACGTCACAATTTAACATTAATTTATACGTTAACATTATAAAATATTGTATAAAAAAATATAAGGTATCAGATATCCTAAACGCTTAAACATAAAATAGGAGATAAAAAAGAGACCCACTTTAATAAAATCTCTTTAGCATTTCTCTTTTTGTATATTTTCCTTAGGCTTTTTATATTAGCATCCTACATTAAAATTTAATATTAAATAACTTATTTGCCCTACTATGCAATGACAATTTTGACCTTATTAGGTAAAAAAAAAACTAAATAAACCCTAAATCACTTTTAATGTGTTATTTATCCTCTTTAACTATCAAAACTCATCCGATCCTCAACTGTTTAACAAACCAATGAAACTACAACATGTTGATTGAGAAAAATTAATTTTGAGAATGAAACAACACGATCGAAAAATTCCATGAGTTTCATTTTTTTTTATGTTTTAGTTGACGACACATATTTATCTGGCTATTCACGTATGCTTTAGTTGTATTCATCTTTTAGGATAACAGGATTACATGAAAAATTAAGCACCTAAAATTACCACCGACTATTCACAACAGACGACATGATTTTTAATGATAGCATTGAAAACAACCCACATCTTTAATCCCATGCGGCATCTTTTGTCAAAATTACAGTCGATATTTTTATTCCAAATTAAAAGCTTTAAAAGATTTGAGACATATGAGGTGTGCAGAAAATATAGGATGCATGTAGAAAATGTAAGGTGTATATTGGAAACGTGGGGTGTGAGGATATTATGGGAAAGTATGTGGAGTGTATTAAAATAATTTTATTAAAAAAACGAATGTAAAGTATATTAAGTATGTGAAGTTTATTCAACAATTTATGGAATGTTAATATAAGAAGGCTTTTCCTTATTCTTATCCTTTGGGTTTTTTTATTTAACACATTATAGATTGTGCCGTTTCAACCGGAAAGTCAATAGGACACGTTTTGCCAATCCCATGACACCTTCTTTCACCCGCTTCTTAATTAACAACATTTTATATTTTATATTTATTTTATTTGTTAATTAACATGCTAACTTTTCATTTTTCTTCTTTTTTTTATATGGTTTATTGATTTGAGCACTCATGATCCACCCTTTATTTTGGAGAATAGAGAAGACTCCTTCCTAATAAAGTCTAGCATAATACCAACACTACCCTTCAAATTTTGGAATGTGTCAAAGCTACATGGGGATACAGTTGTCACTTAGCAAGTTTTATAGTTTACTATTAGAGGGTTGTTTGAATTTGTCACCACCCAAATGAAAGAAAATACCAAAAAAAAAGAATTTTGAAAGGGAAAAATAATAATAACCTCCCTTTGGTTGGTTATAAATTATAATACCCAAATAAGCTTTTCATCCTTAATGTCAGTCATTTCATTTTGCATGCTCAAATTCTCCCCCTTCTCCTTCAACTGTTGGTAAGTTTTTATTTTATATGTTTTTTCTTTTATTTATTTATGTGAAAAAATGGTGTATGTTTTTAATGTCTGTCATTTCTTCATCTGGGTTGTTGGCATTGTATATTCCTCAAACATATATTATTCTGATCCCCTATTAATCCTCCAAAGGATTATAAAGCATAGACTACTCAGAAAAAAAAAAATAATAGTAATAGGTAATTAATGGTTTTCATATTTATCTTACTGTGTCCTCCATGAAAGTGGAACAAGGATTTGAATTGGGTTATTGGAGACTGGAGATTGGCGATGGTCATGTTTTTTAATTGATGGGGCACATTTGGGCACTTCTCAATCCAAAACCCGAAATGGTATTGGTATTGGTATTGGTATTGGTATTGGGGTATTTTCTAACTCTTCCATTTTTCTTTTGAAAAGCGTGAGAAATTGCAGAAAGGTTATGGAAAAATACATCGGGCATTGTAAATACAGATAGCCATTTGATGTGGATATCATGCAAATCTTTGGAATGTCAGGCAAGGCAATATAGGCTGTAACAGCCTAATACGCTTGTCAGCCTGGTTTTAGAGAGAGAGGGAGAGAGAGTTTTGTTTGTTTCATCTGAGTCTTTATTGCCATATCCTAAAAAGGGTTTTTGCTTTTTAGCCTGTGTATGTTTGAAAGGTCTGCGCTTTTTTTATGTTGTTTACATCTTCCTTCCTCCTTGGTACTCTCATGCTGGAATTTATGGCTGTGACAGCTTTGTTTATGTCTTGGGCTTTGAATCATCTCTCCATTTCTATTCTACCTACCGACTAGACTATACTGTTACAATAACGTCTTAATTTAATCTTATAATATATTTCGTTAATTTTATTGCATATACGTGTGAGTGATTGACTTAAAAAGTTACCGTCAAAAAATTCATTAAGTTTTTTGTTTGCTAAAGTTATATTATAGATAAACTAATTTATTAAATCAAGTTTACAAATTGTATATTGTATAAAAAAATAAACACGTTAATTAATATTTTAATAATAATTCAATCAGTTCGGATGAGACTTCAAAGGTTCTCTGTCTGTCATTTCAGTTTCTCTGCTGCTATCAGGACATGCATATTTTTTTTTCTCTTTGGTTTCTTTTGTTTTTAACTTTTAATAAAAGAAAAAGAAGAACTGCTTTTTCACATATCCCTTCGGTTTTGTCTCATTCCTGTGCACTTTTGGCATTTCACTCAGGCATCTGGGATTGTCTCTTTGGCCATATTCTTGATCCATATTCTTGATGTGTTCCATGATTTCCTTCCTGCATTTTTCATGCAGATAGTTTCACCTACAACTATCGCTCATTGGTTCATCTTCAACTCACTCTTCTTTTCTCATTTAACTTTTTCATAATACATCAACTTTTCATTAAAAATTATAATTAGCATTTCAAAATAATTATTTTGCATTTGTTTTTATGTTATTTTTTTGCTAAATAATAGTGTATGTTTTGCAGGGTCAATAACAGCTCCCTTGTATTTTTGGTTTTACTCACTTGTGTTTATGATGCTATAATATGCAGTGAAGAACAAATAAAGAGTGGTGTGGGTGGTTAATGGTCGAACAAGGAAGGGAGATTTGGATGTAGAAATGGCATCACCATCTTTTGCCACTTCAAGCAAGAGCCCACTTCCCATGAAAGACACAACTTCCTCCTCTCAGTCTCACTTGATTAAGTACCCGGCACCTCTTGCTAAACTTGAGGAAGTTGGAGCCAACCCTAACCTCTTCATGTCTACTTTGGAAAAGCTCCATGCTTCCATGGGAACCAAGTTTATGTATGTTTGATATTATCTTTTGAATTTTTTATCCTCTCCCTTCAACTTGTCATTTTTTTTTTTGTTTTGCTAATACCAATTAATATGTAAAGTTTAAGGATCAAGATCTCATCTTTTCCCAAAATCTCTATTGATTAAGTAATTGGATTTTTTGGTAATGTGATCATGCTTCCATCTTGCAAACTTGAAAGTTAAACGAATAGTTTTCCTAACCGCTCACTGCAAAGTAACTTTATCCAACTCTTAGATATGGTACTACTCTTGTCTTTCAGAGATTATCTACATGCATATTCATGGTGACAATGGTTTTAGGGCATAATTTTGCTTATCATGATTCCTTGAAATAATTCATTCTTCATGTACTAGCCAATTTTATGATTACTCGGGCGGTATAGTATGTCGGATATGGCACACATCTGCGCCAATTTTGTGGTTTGTCATCGATGTTTTCTATATACAGCGCTTTTCTTAGCCAAGAATTGTGCTGCATGAGCATAATGTGAAGATGACTGTATGGATGTGGTACAGAAAACATTCTATTCCACTGGACAGTTCAAGCTCTTTCGCAATTTTATGATGTAACAGTTAAAAACTTAATAGTCATCCGCTCAGGTGTTTATTTTTGGCAAGCATCAATTCAGTTTCGGCATGGAAAAACCTCGGTTTTCTTATTTGCATTTAGAACTCTGGAGGCTCATCACTACCCTTTAGTGTGGTTTTCATGGAGAGGATGAGTAGGGTTTAGTTTTAGGCAAGGCTGATTTGCATTGGACTCTGTTTGTTTTGTAGATTTGTAGTAGCTTCGTGTTGTCGATTTTCTACTGTAACTGCCTTATAATTCTGTAGTACCTGTCCTGGTGTTGACATTTTCTGTGTTCTGATTGTAGGATCCCTATTATAGGAGGAAAAGAGCTAGACTTGCATAAGCTCTTTGTGGAGGTAACTTCCCGTGGCGGTCTTGAGAAGGTAAGAAAAAAACTACGTTTAACTATCTGATAAAACATTGAAGGATCAAGGTTCTGTTTTATGATTTATCGGGTGCTTGTGTGAATTTTAAGCTTGTTTTCGTTTCAACTATTTTTCTTATAAAATAATTTGGCCGTAGTCAAATAGTGTGCATTTAGGGCCTCTTTGGAAGTGATTTTGGAAGGACTAGAAGCACATGAGAAGTGCTTTCCTATACCTGTCACGTGAAATCATTTAAGTGATTTATTCAGTAGTTGTATGGAGAAGCAGCTCTCATTTGCTTCTTCGAAGAAGTAATTCTGGCCCTCCCAAATCACTTCCATACGAGGCCCTTAATATATATTTATCTGTATGCGGTTGTGTGTTGATCTTTTTCTGTATCTGACTCTGTGTTTACAGAAACACACAAACACACACACGAACGCACATAACAATTATTCGTCTTGTTCACTGAAAATGCATACTATATCATCTACTGATTTTCTAATCAAATTGGATTTTGCAGATTATTAGAGATAGAAGATGGAAGGAAGTTACTGCGGTATTCAACTTTCCATCTACAGCTACAAATGCTTCATTTGTGCTGCGGAAATATTATCATTCGTTGCTTCTCCACTACGAACAAATTTACTATTTTAAAGCTCTAGCATGGGATCCTCTCGCTTCTGGTGTGCTCATAGAACATTTAGACCTCGTACGAGTAAAAGAATTTGGTACTGTGAATTTTCCTAATGCAACAATTATTTTGCAGAAAGTTCGCGCAGCCCTTCTGTGACAGCCCTTCCATCTCCAAGGGGAGGAGCGAAACGGAAATCAGCTGAATCTCCTTCTGTGCATCAACAAACACCGATAAATTCAGAAATGCCTGGAGGTTTCTTCTTTTTTCACATTTCGAGCTTAGTTGCTCCTTTTCATTGCTTTTTTTTTCTAACGAACTTAGTAGAGAACGAAATTACAGTTCTTCTATATCATTTCCTGTTGCAGCCAGGACAACAGCATCATCAGAAGATTCTGTGACAGGGGTTATTGATGGGAAATTCGAAAACGGATATCTTGTTACTGTCATCAGAGGCTCAACGAAGCTTAGAGGTGTACTTTATCAGTCTCCACGGAATGCAGCACAGGAAGTTCCACCAGTCCCACAGAACTTCGGCGCATTGGTTAACAGAAATGAGAGTGTTTCAGCTACACCTGGTGTCCAGCAGCGTCGGCGCAGAAGAAAGAAGTCTGAGATAAAAAGGAGGGATCCTGCTCATCCGAAACCTAACAGAAGTGGCTACAACTTTTTCTTTGCGGAGCAGCATGCAAGGCTGAAACCACTCCATCCAGGGAAGGATAGAGAGATAAGTAGAATGATTGGTGAGCTCTGGAATAAATTGAAGGAGGCGGAAAAATCAGTAAGGATTATTCATTTAGTATAAGAATATCATCCAGTTTGAGTTATTAATAACTTCAGTTTTGCTATGTGTAGGTGTATCAGGAGAAAGCCGTCAAAGATAAAGAGCGATACAGAATAGAAATGGAGGATTACCGGGAGAGGTTGAAGACTGGTCTAGTGGTTAGTGATGCAGTGCCACTACAACAGCGGTTGCCTGAAGCAGATGCGAGCAACGTGGAATCAGATGCAAAGATTGAAGAAACTGAGGCCGGAGGCTCAGCACAAACTTCGGATGAGAGTAATGAGAGTAGTTCTAGCAAAACAGAAAAGTGATTCTGATGGTGGATTGATATGACTGCAAAAGGATGGATCTGGATTTCGTGCCTTGCGGGTGAAGGCATTCATCTGAGCAAGCCTGAAGAGAGAGTATTGAGTATCGATGGATGACGAATCAGGTGGCGAAAAAGAAAGCTTAGTTAGTAATCTAACTTAGACAGAAATGATCGATAGCTAATGAAGAAAACTGAGTCTCTTATGACCAACTAGGACTGACTCTTTCTATGTTTTAGGTTTAAATTATCCCTTGAATTAGTAGCTTAAGTTGGCATGCTTTTCCAAACTGCATTACTTGTTTCATGGTAAGTGGAGCATAAAATTGCATTTACTTGTTTGTTCAATGAAGGTTTTCATCTGACTTTTTTTTTATTGATTAGACTCCATAAATTCGAAATATATTGGACCAAAATTATATTCTTTAATTCTCAAAGTAAAGAGATTTACTTAAAACCTAATTGGACATTGTTAGTACTATGATTTAGTCACCCACACCAGTAAAGATTTGAGATCGACCTATGTTAGGGAAATTTACAGATCAATTCATGTTAATGATATGATTGATCGTCCATGCTAGTAAAGATTCGCAACTAGCCCATGTCCTGTGGGCAAAAATGAAAAAAAGAATCGATGGCCCAAGTGACGAGACCACATCGAAACGATTTGTAAACGTTTAAATTTGACGTTGCATCACGACCAAGGGGCATGAACCGTTGGTTGGACATTTGGGGTTCTTTTTGCCTCTCTTCTTTTGGAGGAAAGAAAAAGTTGTGAAGGGAGAAAAAGAGAAAATTGGTACCAACTGACAAACCCAAAGTAAGGAAACTAGCATGATAAAAATTTTGCTTCTCGTTATATGCTGACAAGAGAAAATTTTGCTTCCCAAGTGACAGTGAAATGCGATAAACGAAAATTCGCTTCTCAAGTGGAACCTACCGTGCTAAAACACGGTCAAAACCATAATACTATACCATTAAAATGAAACTAGTATATACCTCCTAGCAGTCACTAACCAGCCATCTCCGGCATTACAGGGTTCCCATGAAAAAGGATCCTGCATTACTTATTTGGTCTTCTCTATCTATGCGTCAAACGAAAACTAGGCAACTGAAAAGAGTTGAGACTAGGTACCCAGCCAGAACAAACACTTGAACAGGTGTAACTACGCTGAATGAGCTTCCTTGCAATGCCCGAAATCAACATAACCAGTTTTGCCGCTGTTACTTGTATTTGTAGAACTGCAACATTTTTTAAGAACTTGTATGCACTTGTAGAGGTAAAGTCCGCCAACGTCTTTTCTTGGACATGACCTGAAAATTTAGATTTCAGCAGTCAGCAAAAAAGAGAAGGGAGGAGAAATGATGGTCGCGGAAATCAATGCAATGAGCGTACACATAATACACATTGTTATGAGCGCACACATAATACACATACGTGCAAATGAGCGCACACATAATACACATTGTTATGATATGAAGGTCGATAAAAAAAACCTCCCATGGCCCACCCCCTTGCCTCATTCTAACTTTCAGCACAAATCAACATTATGGAAAGCCCACACTGCTCCAGCTTCTCATTCTAATTTCCCACAAAAGCACTTTTGGGAAGACCAACACTGCTAAACCTTAAGGAAGAGCTAATCACAACCTAGCAACTGGACAAAAGCCACCGAAAGTTTGCAGCCAACAGAATAATTATGCCACGGACGAACATCAATTAAGATATTACTAGATACTAATTAACAGAAGAAACAAGGGTAAAACAAAATAAAATAAAAGATAATATTGTATGCACATATTTATTGATAATGATATAATCAATGCAGAGAGTAAAGAATGGAAGTTTTGACAATACACCTTAGATAATGGAGGCAGCATTGCGGCCTGGCCCTCAGCTTTTCCAGGTTCTGTTAACTGCCGTATCTCTCTAAGATGGCTTGCAATATCCTCCAAAAGTTGCAGCTGAATCCTTTCCCTGTCTCTGTGCCCCACCGAGAAGTTGAGCTTCTCTCTTCCCTCTTGCACAATCCTTAACCTTTCTCCAAGCCGCTCAACTTCATTATCAATTTTATATCTTTCATAATCAATTGCAGACATCGAGTATCTCCGCATATCAGAAGGTAAAGATCTGCCTCGTGGGCAATCCATTGTGATAAATACATTAGATGTGTCTGAACTAACTCTCTGGATTTTGCGCTGATTTTTCAACCCAATTGTGGTTGGCAAATCGTGTTCACTTTTCTCTGCATTGGACAGATGACACTTATCATCAATAACATGAACATCAAGAACACTAGTCTCTGTATTCAGCACTGTGCTACATGGATCTCTGCTGCCCTCATCCTGGTCGTTCCCTTGCTTATCTCTTTTATCATTATTGGATGGAATAGGATTCCTATTTTCATTGCCAGTCCCAGATGTCTTTGAAGCCAACCCTTCCCGTATGCTAGTGCTAGCATCTAAATTCAGTTCCTGCTTATACGGAGGGCTAGTACTTTTACGGAAACTGAGTCCCCCGGGACTAGGTGACAGGCTGCGTTGTTGATATACCTCTAGCTTCTGGAGCTCTTTTCCTTGCGAAGAAGGTTTCTCATCCATAGACACTATTTCCTTTTCTTGAAACTCGTGACTGAACTTATCGGAACTACTTGAGAAATGTGAATGACTCTCTATGCTTGGATGCAAATGCATGTCCACCTGCTTCAAAGAGTCAGAATCTTCATCCAAATCCAGAATTGGTAGTTCTTTACCAAAAGTAAGACTATAATCTTTTATCTCGGTTGATGGGACCGCATAATATGGAGAACTATGTTCCAATTCCAGCTTTGGCTTGTCAGTGATGGATTCACTTGCCCGCTTCAGTACCTGGTCCTCACTTGAATCCGCTTGATCATCTCCAAAAAACATTTGCCTGTATTGCTCAACTTCGTTCTCCAAGAAATGTTTTTCCCTCTCCCTCCTAATTAAGATCTCTGTAAGAATGTTCATTTCCTCAGCATCGTAAGCAAATTTTTCCTCTATCATCCTTTGGTACTGCATTGCCTCCATTTCTATTGATGCCTTCTCCTCTTGCAGGCGCATTATCATGGCCATGGCCTCATCTGCGGCGGTGGCAGCAGCACTTCTCTCCTTCTCCAGTTCAAGATACAGAGCAGCACGAGCAGCATGCTCTTCTTCGAGTGCCTGTTCCAGCACTCTAAATGTAGTTGTCTCATTACTGTCAAAACCTAGTTTCTCTCCTGCATTGGATCCAGAATCTTCAACAAGTGATCCATCCTTCTCCACTGATTTAGTTTCATCAACATGTTCATTAAACCCAACACGTGAAACACTTTCAGGCGAACTCATATCTGTACGAGCTTCAATGCCATCTAAAATTACAAGAGCATCCACAAAAATGAAGAAAGCAGTATTAGCATAAGATGACCAGAAATGAAACAATGATGAGTCTACAAGATCTTATAGTGCATCTTCAAAACATGTGTGAACTTTGGCTGCAGGGAAGCACCTCTAAACTCAAACTTCAAAGGTAATACCTTAAAATAAATAACATTGTACAACTCAGATCCACAGCAATATTTCCGAATCTCCTAGGACGATTTAAATGTCTCTCACCATCTTTTTCTTATCTTTAAGAAAAAAAAAAAAAGGGAAGAGATACTGTTTTACAAAAATAAATGTATCAAAAATATCTTTTTTGGTTGAAAAACGGGGTTAAGAGCCCAAACAAAACTGTTCAAATATAAATCTATACCAGGACATCCCAAGTCGATCCACACAAACAAAACTAACTGAACTAGAAGGATGATTATCAATGTAAAAATTGCAAAATTTAATGCAAGGCTATAGTTTGCTTAAGCTATCCGCCACAAAATATCTTCAAATGTTTGAAAAAACTGAATTAAAATGGTTTAGTTCACTAGCTGTGCGGCAACCACATGTTACTATAAATTATACAACGTAAAATAGAACTGCTAACCGCATACTCCCCCCTTGTCATATCTCTAAAAGGTATTACTTGTTTAAATAAGAAATTACTGCATTTAACTGGCTCTAAACAGTAAACAGTGACTTAGAATACGGTACGAGAAAGAAATTTGCAAACACTAGCAAACCAAGCATTAAGAAGACTCGATAGTCAAATATAGATTAAATTAAACTCGATATAATGAATCTCACCTGAATTTACAAAAACTTCAGTAACCTCATTTCCCATTTTACTAATGCTGGAAGGAGATGTGGGATTGTCCTCTGCAGCGGACTGGAACATATTATATGATGAAACTGAAGATGAATTTCCATAATCAACAGAGCCCCCTCTGCGGCGGCGCCGAAGTCTCGGCCTTCGACCTGCAACCTTCTTTGCCTTAAGATCAAAACTCTGTTCCTTCCCAGCTGCCAAGTTGCCTACACCATACTCAACACTCTGTTCATTCTCAGCCACCGAAAATGAGCTTCCTGACGCTTCACCTTCAAACGCAAAACTCCCATTTGCCTCATTTAGGGACTTCAACTTTGAATGGAAATTTGGGTCTTCATCCCATATAACATCGAAAGGGAACTTACTCCTAGCCGACCATAGAACTGAAGAGATTTTCTCACACGGGGCATCCGCAAATTGCCTCTGAAAGCAGTTACTTTTCCTTGGGGTCCCAAAAAACCCATCACAAGGGCACGGCAGACAAAACCCAAACAGACCAACAAATTTCGAGGTAAAGTAGGCAACTGCCGCGGCACATAGTAGAAGGTAGGCTATTGCAAGATCAAGAAATGCACCGACTAGCTCGTTAAATTTCCACGAATGTATCATTTGGCATGCCATTTTCCTTAAAAATCATTCACCATTCATCCAGCTCACCAAACCAAACCAATTCAAACCTCCGCTCGAATGCTGAAACATTAATTGGAACGAAAATCAAAAGAAAATATTCCCATATTCGTACATTTCTATATCAATCAGAACACAATAAACAATAACGAAGAATAATACATCACAAAGTTTGAATCTTTAACCATTTTCCATTGCAATTAGCACACTATAAACAGAAAACTAATAAAATTGAACCAGTGCCGCATTCGATTGCTAACCAAAATGCAACTATTAACAATTTGGATCTCTAATCCAACACTAATCACACTCAAATCACCTGATTAAACTCCAAATTTCAGTGATTTCCATCGTTATCCGATAACCCAAATCAGCATGCCAATCAACTCAAACAAACACAAACCCAATAATAAAAACGGAAACAACTGGAGTGAAAGCAAGCAATAGAAGGCTACGAAATGAAGAGTTAGTTCTTCACTCACCGAATTAACAATACTGAGTCGACTCGGCGATTTTCCTCTCTGAGTTTTTTTTTTTTTTCTTTT